GCCTGGGTTCAACTCCTCAGCCCCTAAATCTTCTTATAGCAGAAAAAAATCTTTTCACAGGAAACAGATGCACACTGCAGAGAGCCTGTAATCAGCAGGAGTGTGCTGCATGCAGGTCTGCCCAAAGGTAGACGTTCTCTCTAAAGAAGGTGTACTGGAAGGATAATAAAGAGGCAGGAGCGCACACTGCCCTCCACAACTAACCCTCCTCTGGCTACGTTGAGGACTATCATAGAGAGATTTGTGAGGAGACACAGGGGACAAGGTACTGAGAAGATACCAGAGAGCTCAGAAGGGAATAAGGGGTAGACAATCCCCAGAAACACTAAGGATCAAACATGGCATTTCCTGGAGAAGTTCTTGTTGACTGGGCCAGCACAATCCCCTGAGCTGTTCTTTCCCTGGCTGTGGCAAAGAGCCATCCAGATGGTGAGAATCCCATAAAGGACAGAGATCCAGGGACAGGTGACCTACATGGCTCTAACTGCTCCTCCCATCTTGGGCTCCTACCTCTTCTCAAAGATATAGAAGTGACAGTGTAGCTTGTCTGACAAGTCCCCTAGCTGGGGGACCGGCTCCTTCTGCTTCAGCAGGTCCTTCAGTCTTTCATCCAGGCTCTCTTGCTCCTGTTCATTAGAAGGTCATATTCTCAGTAGAGGGTTGCACACTCACATGCACACACGTAAACTCATGAGCATGCACAAGTACATGGATGCACACATATAAGCACAGTGTAAGGTAGTAACATGTTTAATTTCCCAGTTAATGCTAATATAAAGAGCAATCACCGGGGATACTATTGAGAAGAAGGTTAACTTTTGCTGGATGGGAGAAGAACACAGTGGGCATGAGAGATAGGCAGCTCAGTGCCTATCCTGTGAACCTAATGCACAGACAGGTGGCCTCTGGGGTCCTGGCCCATTAGCCAGCCCTGCTTAGGAATCCTGTTTCCCAGGATGTGCAGTATAGGAATGTTCCACAGCACAGGACCACTGGATGTGGTAGACCAGTCTGATGGTCTTGTTCACTGCTTCCCAGCTGCCCCCAAGGTGAACAACTTCCTCCAAATGGAGCTCCTTTTACCATAAGCTACCTCACTTTGGTTCCGAATCAATGAGCTCAGGAAACTACAAAATCTCCACAACCTGGAGTCAAAAATTAACAATTCCTCCCTGTAAGGTAATTTGTCAGGGATCTGTTTGAGTAACCAAAGGCTAAGTCAGAGCCAAATAATTGCATGGATTATTTCATACTGAACAACATTCCATGGCAAAGCTCATCCACATTGTACTTTTTCACTCATCAAATGATGGACATCTGCATAGTTTCTACTTTGAGGCACTCTGAGGAATGCTGCTATAGTGCATCCATGCCCTAGCTTCTCTGTGGACACCTACTTCATGTTCTGGAGTCACTGGGTCACCTGGGAACTGCAGTCTAACTATCTGAAGAACTGCGTGTGCCTTCTCACTGTGCTATATCATTTTACACCACCAGCAATGTCTGGGGGTCCTCATTTCTCCCAGCCCTCCGTGAAGCTGATTTGAACTCCGAGTGAACAACTTTATAGAAAAGCAGTTACTGAGTGCTACAGACACAAGCCATGGTGAATGCTTCAGACCATCGTGTGCCTAAAGGTGTGCCCTAAAGGTGTGCCCTAGGGCAGCCCCATTCTTACACCACAGCATGGCTAGGGACTTCTGATGGGCCGAGATGCAGCTGGAAGCACACTGCAAGTCAGAATCTCTCAGCAAATAAAATCCAGTACAAGCTTCAAGGCCAAGGTGGACTGTCCAAGGTTAGGCAAAGGTGGGAAGAAAGTGGTAGCAGGAAATGTGGATGAGGACAAGACCGGACACAGAGAAGGCACAGTGAGCCACCTGACCACCAAGTGTGCTCACCATTCACCCAGAGCAGAGAAGGGACACACACCCTCAGCCAGCCTATCCTGCCTCTCAGACACCTTGTTTTGCCACAGTGGCCTCCTCCTCACCTTCCTGTACCACATTCCTCTGGTTTGCTCCAAAAACATTTCTTGCAAATATTTTTCCCCCTACAAATATCTGAAAACCACTGAGTTACAGTAGTTTATGGGCCCTTTTTTTCCAGACTGCAAGGTGGACATGTAGGAAGATGGGCAACAACACACAATATTTGATGGAGGCAAAGTGAGTGGGCACAGTACTTCTCAATAAAGTTGGAATCCATCATCAGTAAAGGTGTTTCATGAATAAGTGAACATACAGAAATGCAGAAATACACACACACACAAAAGTGAACACACCATTGCACACAAACACACATGCGCATATATGCACAGGTACTCACAAACACACACACGAGCACTTATCTCTACACATACAGGAATCATGGGCAGAGACATCCACACTCAACCACACATGGAGACACACACACTCACACACACACACACACACACACACACAAAAGGACACTATTGTGCAAACAAGAAGCAGCAGACACACAGAGAGACAAACACAAATAGAAGTACACACACTCATTTGAAAAGAAATGCACCACACAACACACATATACAAACACACACACACACACACACAAAGGGACACTACTGTGCAAACAAGAGGCAGCAGATACACAGAGAAACACACACAAACACAAATAGAGGTATACACACTCATATGAAAAGAAATGCACCACACAACACACACAAGCACACACACACACACTTCTGAACCCAGAATGGCCAGGGAGAAGACCGCTGCCTTTCATAACCTTTTTTTGCTGCAGCAGGAGGTAGTGGGTCCTCCCAACAAGGCTCTTAAACTCAGCCGGGCTCTGCTACCCTGACCTGCGCTTACATTTCCTTCTGTGAACTTTATCCACCCTGAGACTCACTGATCCCACAGGCCAAGTTGATCCATACAGTCTCTTCACTAAACCTCCCCTGGCTCCTCCACAGAAGACTTAATAGCTCAAGAGAAGAAAATGACCCATGGTCAACACCCAGGACGTTTTCAACAGGTCACACTGCATAGAAGATGAATTCAGCCCCAATGTCACTCAGAAGGAGGCCAGTGACGTCACCTGCAGTGCTTTTCAGAAATGCAGCACTCTGAACAACCATGAGAGGGAATCTGTTCTAAGACACAGCCATGCACATGATAAAGTCAGCAAAACAACACCAGCAAGGAGATACACTGTGGGATTCCATGTTGTGAAGCCAGAGACAAACCAGACATTTCCTGTCCTGTCAGCTCAGTGCAGGGAAAGGGAAGAAGTCTGCTTTTCATGTTTAAAATAGCTGTACAGTTTGATCTTTGTTATTTATTACAAAACACATTAACTCCAAAACAATAAACGTGTGTGAAATGAAGCGAGAGCTACTCCATCCCTCCTCTTTCTGAGCTACTGAAACTTGTAACAATTAGAAGAGACAAAACAAGACAGAAGATCCACCTTGGAGAGCACAGGAAATCCAGAGCACTGGCCAGCCAGATTAACCAAACCAGAACATTTCAGGTTCAGTGAAGACCTGGGCTCAAGGGAGTAAGGGAGTGAGCAGCAGAGGACACCAGATGACATCATCTGGTCTACAAACACACCCATCAGTGTACACATCTACACACCCATGCACACACTTCGGAGAGACCACAGAAGTCCTAAGTGAGCAGAAAAATTGAAGAGGACATCATGCTGAATGAACAGTTGAATTTAGACTATGCACATCAGGAGTTTCAGCTGAGAACCACAAATGCTATCCGTCCCTTGGGGACTAAAAATTCCTAGGGGAACACACAGCTTAGTCAAATTATGTTTAGGTGGTTGGAGAAAATGTCCTCTTGTAGCCTCAAATCTGCCACCCCAACCCTCAGCCTGTCAAAGTCCTCCCACATCGATGGTCATTGAGTCAGCTCCAGACTGGAAGCTCCAGAATGGGAGAAGTGTCCAGCACCACCCACAGAAAACAGGGCTGACGAGCTGATACTCAGGCTCCTGTCAATGGGAACCAAAGGTTGAGGAAATGGAAGAGACCACATTAGGAAACAGGAAAAAGGAGCAGGCCACGTGCTACTCAAAAATTGACAGTGAGAACCACTCACTTGGCATTGGCTCTGGGCTCTAGTCCTTGCAGGCTGTTTCCTACATTCCATCTCACATGACCCCTGCAAAGCAAATGAGCCACAAGCTGCTGACGTCATCAAAGAAAGAAAGCTTTGTGCTATTCCCTAAGTAGCTGCCTGGATAGCAGCCCGCTGACTACAAAAACATGCAAGTGTGTGATGTCTGACTGACCCATCTCCCTCAATGGACTGCAGCTTCTAGCAGAGCAGGAGGGTTTGCTTGCGTAACTCTCCAGAGAGACTTGTGAATGATCACAGAAATAAACAACTGGATGGTATGTAGGTGGGAGTCTAGATGGGTGAGTGGATGGCTGCATGGGTGTCTCCATGTTTATGGCTGAACAGGTGGGCAGCCTGGCCCCGCTGCCGAGGCCTACCTGCTGCTGCTCAGCACAGGGGTCACGGATCTTCTCATGGGCCTCCTTCAAGAGCTTCCTCACCTCCTCACAGGACTCCTGAAGCGCAACCTGCTCCTCCCACAGCTTTCTGTTCTCCAGCCTCAACTCACGTACATTTCTTTTCAGTTGAGCCAAATCTCGGAGTTTCAGGCTGTGGAGATAACAAACCCGCCAACCAAAAATGATGAGCCCCATCCAGCTCCAAGTACCATCAGCCATCCCTACCTCCAAGTACCACCAGCCCTGAAAAGTCCCAGGCCCCCAGACAGCCCAGGACTGGCTCTCACAGCAGCCAAGACAGCATCATACAGTGGCAAGCCAAATCGAGAGAATAAATAACGCCCGAAAGATTCAAAGTACTTCTGAAAATCCTGGCACCAGAAGTGATCCTGTGCCCCTGAGAACACGATGCGGCCAGCACCTGTGCTTAACTGCTCATGGTACTGGGAAAGCAGCGGCAGGTAGAGGACAAACACTCTCTGAAGGAGGGCAGAAGTCCCTATTGGAATAAAGTCTTTCTATGGGTCCCATGGCAACAAGCTCTGGGAAGCCCCTGCCAGAGCCCCAGGGTCCCTGGGATGCCTGACACTTCATCTGCCTGACACTCCCTTCCTGGTACAAACCATTTTTCTATCAAGGGGCTCCTGAGACTGGCAGAACATCACTGGTGGGGGGGCTCTTTTCACACTTACCAAAACTGAGTCCAGGAGGCACAAGTCCAAGGCCCACAAGGAAGCTGCTTGCTAAGAGGTAGACAGGCTAGGACTAGAGCCCTCACTTTGGGTCAAAGACACAGAGGGCACAATCAGTCCCTCCTAAGCTAAATCAGGCACGGTACCTGTAGGATGCGTTCTTCTCAACCAGCTGCTTGCACCTGTTCAAGGCATCAATGACCTCCACAGGAAATGTCTGGAAGTCCAACATCACCCGCTTATGCTCCTTTTTCAACATATCCAGAGAATCCATCCTGTGGTAGGGCATGGCCCCAGGAAAAAAGAACTCCATGAACACAAGACTCAAGGATCATATGAAATCAGGCTGTGTCCTGGCCTACCCCAACCCAGTAGATGCCACAGCCTGGTACCTATTACACTGGGACCTCCTGGTGCTTATTAAACTTCCTATCCTGTCCCCAGGCCAGAAGAGGCAGGTGGTCCAAAGGGAGGGAGTCAGGGCTGCATGAGCACTCTAAGTTGGCTTGGAGATTAGCTCTCGAAGAAGTTCCCAGGAGTCCATGCCACATATCTGGGCCCACCAGGAACCTATGATGACATTTCTCCTGTCTTCAAAACAGGATTCTCATTCCTGGGTGACTATAGCTACACTGAGAACCAGAGAACACAATCAGTATTTCCAAGGAGAAGTCCCAACTTCAGGATGCCTCTATAGACTCCACAGGGGATTCCAATGTTCCACCAAGGGAAGCACAGTAGCCAGGAGATTTGCTGCTCAAAGTGGGGCTCCCTGGCCTCAGCACTGTCATCCCCTGGAAACTGTGAAAATGGGAAATCCTCAGGCCCTGCCACAGACCCCAGACACCTAGGAGTACACACACACACACCCACATGTCCTCTACCTCCACATGCACACCACATACAATCATAATGCCCATTAAATACAGGGAGGTGGCACTGTCTCAGATTATGAGGAAGAAGACCAGAGAGGAGCTGTGATGAGCTTTAGGCCTTCCAGCCACAAACTGAGATTGATCAATGGGACCAGGTCCCTCCAGCTGCTGCCTGGCGCTTTCTGCACACAATCATCAAGTACAAAGACTCACCACAAACTCACAGCACCTAGCATGTCCCAGAAGCCAACACCTGTCAAGGCCTCTTGAAATGCATGTTGAGAGCTACTAGCCCTGTCCCCGGACTGTGATTCAGGTCACAGGCTCTGTTTTTCATTTGGAAGAAGAAGAGCCTGTGTCCCCTTCTCACATCTACCCAGGTTCCAAGTTCTGCCTCTCTGATGCACTCAGGAAAATTAGTTTAGGCACCAGGACACCCTGGAGGTTCTGCCTCCTGTGCCTCAGGAAAGCTTGGCTTGACACTGTGGTGTCAAGATGGTCAGCAGAGAACTGGGCATAACGACTACCTGTTCTTCAAATCCATGTTGGTGTAGGTGTCCAAGATTCCATAGAGCTCAGTTTGCTCATATGTCATACTCTGCAGCTGAAAGGTAAGTTTCTCCACATCGTTCATTTCCTGCTCCTGCTCAGCAAAGGTGGAGAGTTGGGATGGTGCCTCTCCAGTGGTCCCTGCAGGTAGAGAAAGACAAGTGAACTTGTATACCTAAATTACATAGAGCCAGGAGAATCCATGCTGAGTCCCAAAAAGCAGCCCAAAGAAGAGGAAATACTAGGGACTCAGTCAAGGCCCCAAAGAGCAGGGCAGCTGTCCTCAAACTGATGTCCATGAGCTATGTCTCTGTCCTCAACCACCATGGCTAGGAACGTACATCCATCCCTAATGCAGTACCCTAGCCCTGGAAGGCATAAGTTATCTCCAACATGTAGATTTGGAAGACAGTGTCACCTCAGATCTGATGTGATGCAGGTAAGTCCTCTTGTCCCTAGAGCTTAGCAGCACCAAACATGATCCCATGTGCCCAGGACCAAAGCATCTGAATGTCTGAGACTTTGGTGCATGGCCAGGGGAGTTTCCCTCCCTTCTTATTGGCATCAGATTCCCATGGAAACTGAAGGAGTCCATGAGGATGAAGTGCAGCAACACCGTACCCTGACAGCGACACCTAATTAGTCACCCCTTTGCTCCTGCTGGCCTTCCTTTCCACTCACAGTGAGATGAAGAATCTCCCAGAAAAGTAGCTGGAGGCTTGACAATCCATGGCTCCCCCAAACTAACCACCAGAAACTGCTTTCTCAGGGCCTGCTCTTAGGGAACCCAGAGAATCAGGATAAGCCCATTGCTTCCCAAAAGCTCCCAGATGCTGAGTCCCACTACTGGAAGGCCCAGCTCAAGCTCCACTTCCTCTAGGAAGCTCCCCATCCCCTGCTCAAGAGTCACTGTGCCTTCCCCCAAACCATTGATTTCTCCATGTTTTACACTGAGACCAAAGCCCAGCTTCCTTCTGCCTCTCTCAGGCCTCGCCATGTTCTCCATTTTGTCTCCCACACAGCCAGCTCAGTCTTGGCAACATGTCTATGGGCAATGAAAGAATACCCCACAGTCACTTGATGTTCCCACCACACTGGTGACATCACAGAGAATACCAAGGGCTCTCCAGAATACAATAGTTTGTCCAGACCAGGGACTATTAGGGTCACCACCAGCAATCTTCACCCACCTACTGACAAGACTTCTGCAAATCACTGGAAGCCATACTACACTTCCCAAGGGCCTTCCCAGAAACACAAGGGAAGACCATCATTGCCTCCTCATTGCGAAGCCAGAAATCTATTCTTCTTTAGAATATATTCACTACTTCATATGCGGGAAGTTGAAGACTCAGCCCAAACACATCCCAGGAAATGGTTCAACCCCTTCTTGAGATGTCTAGTCAATAACATGAGAAATAAAGATATCTAGGTAATTACATAAGGACGGTAGGAGAAAAGTTCAGTCCCCTGAAGACAAGAGCATTGTGGAGGATCCACAAGGCTGTTACAATACGTTGGTGTGGTGGGAGATTGTGAGTGTCCTGTCAGAACAAACATAAATCCAATAGTTGATAAAAAAAAAATTACCCTAAAATTTCAGAAAAATACATTCCAGCCATCTTAAGTTAGCAAATTGCAATTAAGTAGGGACAGGTCAGGCTGCAGATACTAAGAACTGGGGCTCCCCAGGTGAGCCCTCAAGACAAGAGCAAACACTCCCATAAATAGTGATGGTCCATTCCTGCACTTGAATTTGAGAAAAGATGAATGGCTATTGAGAGGCCACACACAGATATACAAAGGCATTTTCAGAAAATCAAATTTGCCATAGTCATGGGGAGAGTATGTAGTGTGTCACTGCTGTGGTGCTTCACCTAGAGCTACACAAAAGCCAAATTCCTTGATCTGAAGCCACCTGTGACAATGCACATGCCCTTAGGAAGGGGGAAACAGCCAGCTTAAATTACAATATTCATCAGAGAATGAGAAGGGCAGGCAAAGAACAAAAAATGGGAGATGATTGGGATCCTTTGCCCTCAGTAATACACAATTCTATAAGTCAAGGGACAGCACCTGCCCTACATACTACCTCATCTCAGTCAAACCTGACACTGAAGAATACTCAGGAAGTGACTGATAGATGAGACTGTCCAACAGGTTGTGAAAAACCAGACTTGAGTCTCCCCCTCTGTAAATGTCAATTCTTGCATCTCTCTATAGGGAGGTAGATGTCTCAGAAGGTACCTGCTTTCCTCTGTCTCCCTTCACAATTTGACGCAGGGAAGAGCCTCCTAAGGCTTATCCACGGCTGCAGGGGATGCACATTGGCTTCAGAGCCCTCAGCCATGTGCTTTCAGAAGCCTGGAGATGATTGCTACTGTCACAAGTACTCAGGTAGTGTAGGGATGCCCAAATCACTTGCTGGCTGCTTCAAACTCTTGTGTTAATGGGGAAGCCATACAGGGGCAGAATATAGTCACCAGGTTCTCAAAGCCATCCCCACTGACAGCCCAGGACACCCAGAGCTGGCAGGAAGAGGCAGTCTCTGCCTAGGTCCTCAAGCTAGCATTCAGGCTGATCTGGAGACCTGTGTGCCACCCGCAGCTGGGAAGTCAGAAGTCTTAGGGGTCACTGGAAGAGAGCAGCACTTGGTGCCTCGGCCCTGCTAGTGGCTGTGATATAAAGTATGACAACCTCAGGTTTGCCAAGGGACTCTCCTTTCTCTGTTATTACTGGCACACAACATAAAGGACTCTACTATGCGCACAGTACAGTGATGGTACTGAAATCTCATTAATTCCTCTGTGCCTCCTTCCCCACTCAGAGTGAAAGCAGAGGGTCCCCAGAACAAAGGCTACAGCCTTGTCAATTCCTGACTCTGTCACACTAACAATCATGAATCCTTGATGTGGGTCAACCATTTAGGAACTCAGAGAAGCAAGATAGACCTACTGCTTCCCAGAAGATACCAGGTCCTGAGCCCTAGGCCTGGAAGACTCAAGGCCATCACATCCAGAAAGTTCCCTAGTCCCTTCTCTGAACTCACTGCGTCTTCCCCAGGACCATTGGTCTCTCCATGTTTTCCAGTGAGACCTAGGGCCAGCTTCCTTCTTCCTGATTCTGGTCTCTCCATGATGTCCATTCTCTCTACCAAAGAGATTCCTCAGTGTTGACAACATGTCTGTGGGTGAATTTTATAGGCACTGAACAAATGTCCAAGGGCACTTGGTGTTGCTACAACACAAGTGACATCACAGAGGATTCCAAGAGCTCTCCAGGATACAGCAGAATTTCCAGAGAAGAGACTGCTGATGTCATGGGGAACAGCCTTTGCCTCCTTGCCAATTAATTCTCCATGAACTGACCAGAAGCTGAAGTTTCCTCTCCAGGATTCTCTTTTGTGACACAGGGGAATCTATTCAGCACCTCCTCCTCCAAAGCTAGAGATTTTCTCTGCTTCATTAGAATCTTTTCACTACGTCACCCATGGGGAGTTGAACGCTCACTTTATAAACACTGCCCAAGAATGGCCCTTCCCCTACTTAACATCCATACCCCATAATATGATAAATAAAGCATAACAAAAAGTTAGGTCAGGGTGATATTGAGGATGAGGGTTGAATCCTCTGAAGTGAATAAGCACCTGGGGAAGGGGAAGGTTTAGGGAAGGTGGCCATTGGGAATTTGTAAGTGAGCTGAGACCGATATGTCTCTATGTTATGAGATCCAAACTGCTCTAGAATATCCTCGACACATGCCTGGTATAATAGGGATCTCTAGAGCAACGGAAGTGATAAAATGAATCTCTATATATATTAAAAGGGGATTTGTTAGAAGTGCTTCCATGCTGTGCTCTAGCTAATCCAACAATGGCTGGCTATGAATGGAAAGTCCAAGAATCCAGTAGTTGCTCAGTCCACAGAGTCCAAGAATCCAGTAGTTGCTCAGTCCATAAGACTGGATGTCTCAGCTGTCTGCAGTATATGCTGGATTTTTAAAGAAGTAGACTCTCATGGTATTGAGAGTATGGATGTACTAAATAGGCAAGAGCAACCAGGCAAAGATAAAAAGCTTCCTTCTTCCATGTCCTTCTATAGGCTTCCAGCAGAAATGATGGTCCAGATATTATTTGAATTAAAGGTCTATAGTAATCCTCCCTCAAAGATCCAGACTAGAAGTAGATAGATCTTCCTGCTTCAAATTAGGCAGAAATGGTTCACAGGTGTGCCCTCTATTTTTAGATATTAGTTAATCCCAGATTTAGTCATGTTGACAACCAAGAATACCCATCACAATCTTATTCCCCCTCTTCACTAATATTCTTGAGCAAATGGCTCCCCAGGAGAGTGAAAGGAAAGAGTGACAATAATCAAAAGGTACATCTGAATCAGCTGTAGATCTTATGGTCATGATGACGTTTAGTGGTCTCTTTATATCCATGGATGGCTGAAATAAACTGAAATATCAGTCATTGATTTCTTGTGTAGGAGAAGATCAGGTAGAAATCCAGTTACAAAAGAATCTGTTCTTCCTTTATACTTGAAGATTTGAAATTCAAATAATTATTTTATGTCTGGCAGTAACTGGTGGGAAAGGGTCCAACAGACAGAAAATGAGTACTCTTTTTAAAAAAAGTAAGAATGGCCTAACACAGAAATACACTGGACCGGTCAGAAAGAGTGTGGCATCAGAAAGAGCCATGTGAATTTGGACTTCAGCTCCTCTAGACCACATCTGCTTACTCCATGTGTCCTGAGAAAGGAAAAAAAAAAAACTCCTTGTTAAATAGGAGGACACACGGAGGACTTCCATGTGCTCTTCATTGTAAAGAACAGCTAGAAGCCTTCAATTGCTTTCACAGCAAAAATGGCTAATTAGGATTTGAAGTTTCACTGATGATGATTAAAGAGGCAGAATTTGGAGGTAGCAGCACCAGGAAATAAATCATAGTCCAGAGCTAAATCATAATACAGAGCTCACCATTGGCACTCCCACGATGAGCGTGGGCACTACAGTGTGTGTCCACAAGAATACTGGCTTTAGACAATGTGCCTGGAGCTGCTTTAGAAGCTTGCAGCATCCATGGCTCTGAAAATGAGATACAACCTTCCTCCCATCATCAAGCACAATGGACTCCTCCATTCTTTAGAACATAAGCTCTAGCATGCAGTTGAATGACTCAGGCGTGTATTTCAGATCTAGCCTCCGTAGTAAGGGGTAGGGCTTCTGATGGGAAGCCCTCCACCAAAACTTTGCAAGGATGGTCAAAGGTGCTGGCAGACAACAGCCCCTCCCCACATCCACCCTGCAGCCTCCAGAAGGGGCTTTACGAAATCACTTTTACTAACTTTTCCTTTGTGCCTTGGGCTTATTGTCTCTCATTATTTGAAATATAGTTTCAGTTTCTGACATAAATCCTTTTAGATTTTTCTTCCTACAATTGAAATTTCACTTTGTACATACTATTCTATTCAGGGAGGCCCGATTTTCTTTGCAGTAAGCTCAGGTTTATGTTTTTCCCTTTATTGCTTGCTGTGATGACTAATCTTGGTTATCTACTTGACAGGTAGTTGAGGATTTGACTCCATCAGACTGGCTTATAGGCATGCTTCTTTGGCATTTCCTTGATTGCTAATTGATGGAGGAGAGCTCGGCCCTCTGTGGGTAGCACCTTCCCTAGGCAAGTGAGCCTGGGCCTCAGAGGGAAGCTAGCTGAGCAGATCAGTGAGCAGCATTCCTCTGTGGTTTCAACCCACTGCCTTGGGATCTTGCCTTGGCTTCCCTTGATGATGGACTGTAACCTGTGAGGCGAATAGACCCTTCACTTTCCCAGATTGGCTCTTTTGACTTTTATCACAACAGTAGAAAACTAACTAGAACACTCGCCATATTCTCAGGGCATGTTCTGATGTCCATCCTCCTCCTTTCAGCCTGTAGACCCTTTTTTCAACACTTAAAGATTCTGGACACTGCAATCCTTTGCAATATTGACACTACCAATTACACACCACTGCTTATGTAGCTACATTAAAGTATTTTGATTTTCTTATCTGATATAACATGTTTCTCTCTAATATGGCATCATGCTTCCCTGCTTTTCCCTCTTTAAAATTATCTCTGGATGTTCCTGCCTTTTCCACTTTAAAAATTATCCTTTGCCATAACAGAACATGTATAGTCAGATTATTAAGTTCTACAGAAATAAGTGATTTATTGGATTCACATCTTCTAATTCAAGATTTATTGCATTACTTTTATTAATTTAGCAAAGTTGATCTTTTATATAACCTACCTATCCATAAAACTTTAAAAACTTACATCCATTTAAGTCTTTAAGATCTTTTAGAACATCAACTTCAAATGTCTTGTGTGTATTTAGGATTTCTCTTGGATACTTTATAACTGTTTTTTATTTTATTTTTTTGTTTTGTTTTGTTTTTTTTCGAGACAGGGTTTCTCTGTGTAGCTTTTCACCTTTCCTGGTACTCACTTTGGAGACCAGGCTGGCCTGGAACTCATAGAGATCTGCCTGCCTCTGCCTCCCAAGTGCTGGGATTAAAGGCATGCGCCACCACTGCCCAGCAACTGTTTTTATTAATACTATTCTCTTAAAACATGCTAATCCAAAATGTCTTGTTATATATTTAAGGCTATTGTGAGTGGAATTGTGTCCTGGATTTCTTTCTCAGCATGTTTGTCATTGGTCTACAGGAAGGCTACTGACTTTTCTGTCTTAAGTTTGCATTCTTCCTTTTTATGAATGTGTTGATCAACTTTAAGGGACTTCTGATCATTTTAATCTTATTGGTTTAGAATCATGACATCTGTAAATAAGGAAACTCTGAGTTCTCCCTTTTCCATTTGTATCCCCTTATCTCCTTCAGTTGTCTTATTGCTCTAGCTAAGAGTTCAAATACTCTATTAAATAAGAATGGAAAGAGTAAATATGCTTCTCTTGTTCCTCATTTTTTTGGAATCCCTTTGAGTCTTCCTCTATTTAGCATAATGCTTCTGTGGGCTTGTTGTACAATGACTTCATTATGTTGAAATATGTCTTCCATAATCCTAGATTCTCTGGGACTTTTATCATGAATGGAAGTTGGATTTTTACACAGGCCTTTTTTTTTTTTTCATATACTCAGACGGTCATGTGGTTTCTCTCCTTTATTCATTTCATGTGGTGGAATATATTTGTTGATTTATGTATGTTGAATTATCCTTGCAGGTCTGAGGTGAAGACAACTTGAACATGGCGGATGGTTTTTTTTTTTTTATATGATCCTGGACTTGGAGTAGTCTGCGAGTATTTTATTGAGAATTTGTGTGTGTATATGTTCATCAGGGCAATAGGCATATATACATCCCTCTCTCATCATCAAGGTATCACTGGCTTAAAAAAGAATTTGGATGAGATCCCTCTTTTACTATTTTATGGATTAGTCTGAAGAGTATTTCTTGTTCTTTAAATGACTGGTCAAACTCTACACTGAATCCGTCCTATTCTGGGCTTCTTTAGTTGGGAAATTTTAATTACTGCTCCTATATCATTAGTTTGTTTGGGACTAATTAATTCATGTTATCTTGATTTAATTTTGGTAGATCATATAGATTTAGAAATTCATCAGTTTTTTTAAAAAGAACTTCCCAGTTTGGTGGAATGTAAATTTTTAAGCAATTGAATTCCCTCCATGTCTACTTTTCCCCCTTTGTTTTATTATTTTCATCCTCCTCTTCCTTTTGGTGAATTTGGCTAAAGGTGCGCCCATCCTGTTAATGTTTTCAAAGTACCAACTCTTTGTTTCATGTATCTTTATATTTTTCTTTATTTCACTGATTCAATCCATGATTAATGGAATATCTGTATCATACTCTTTACACAAGACTCAAAGACCATCATGGAAGATGGGGTAGGAAAATTGTAGGAGCCAGAGGTCAGGAAAGATTAGAGCAGTGTCTTCTGGCCACGACAGGAACACTGCACTCATGATTCATAGCAGCTGTGGTCACTTGTCCAATATCAAGCCGATCAACATTCAAGCATGGAATGGGAAGGATGCATGAGCTGAAGAGCTTTGAAGGAATAATGGCTTCTGGAAGAGGGAGAGTCAGTTTTCCTAAAGAGGCTGCCTCTAGAGTTATTAAAATTAATTTACTGAAGAAGACTCAAAGTTGAGTGTCACAGATGTGGGGGTACATTTGAGGTGAGTAAATGGGAGGAGATGGGGAGTAAATATCATTAAAATG